GGATAGGCACACGTTTGGCAATGTTAAGCGAGAGATCAAGCAACTCACTAGAGAACTTGAGATGCTAAAAAAATGTCCCAAGGCGGTCTGAACCAAGCCACCTTGAAATCAAGGTAGTTGATAGGCTTGTCGAGCTATACCACATGAAGAGATCCTAAGTAGACAGCGCTCGCGGGTTGACTGGCTTACTTACGGAGATAGCAACACGAAATATTTTCCAGCAAAGGGCTTCGATGAGGAGGAGGAAGAACAAAATCACGGCCCTGACCAGGCCGGATGGACAGGTAACGGAAGATGTCGAGGAGCTGGAAGTGCTGACAACCGAGTTTTACAAACACCTCTACACCTCTGAGGGATGTAACAATATGCAAGAAGTGTTGGACTCGGTTTCGGTGAAGGTCACGAATGATATGTGGGCACAATTGGATGCGGAGTATACAGAAAAGGAGGTCAAAACAACACTTTATCAAATGTTTCCTATGAAAGTGCCAGGTCCGGATGGTTACCCGACGCATTTTTTCAAAAACATTGGCGTGTTTGTGGGGAAGATGTAACTAGGGCCGTCCTAGCGATCGTGGAAGGGAAAGAGAGTGCGGAAGGCATCAATCAAACTTATTTGGTCTTGATACCGAAGGTAAAAAATCCTTCCCTCTTGTCACAGTTTCGACTGATAAGTTTATGCAATGTACTTTATAAGATAGCTTCCAAAGTTATCGCCAACCGACTGAAGATGGTGCTCCCCGAGATAATCTCAGCAGAACAGTCGGCCTTTGTGCCAGGCCGCTTGATCACAGATAATATCATTGTAGCCTATGAGTGCCTGCATTTTATGAAGCGTAACAAAGCAATCAAACACATAGATTGCGCTCTTAAATTGGATATGATGAAAGCATATGATAGATTGGAATGGGATTATTTAAGAGCAATAATGATGAAACTTGGCTTTTCTCAAAGATGGGTTGATATTGTTATGACACGGTAACATCAGTTTCATATTCGGTTTTATTCAACGGAAAGAAGTTGGAGGAGTTCAGACCTAGCAGAGGTATTCGTCGGGGAGATCCAATCTCCCCTTACCTGTTCTTATTGGCAGCGGAGGGCCTTTCAGGCCTATTGAAAAATTTAAGTCAGTCATCTCAACTGGGTGGGATACAAGTGGCGCCCTCGGCACCACCTGTTAATCACTTGCTGTTTGTGGATGATAGCATGCTTTTCTTTAAAGCAACTGGAGGAGGGGCGAACGAGGTGTCAGGCTTCAGGTCAGAGAATTAACACTTCAAAGTCATCTATATTTTTTAGTAAGGGGTGCCCAACCACTATTAAAGATGAGATTAAAAACATCCTCAACGTTCCTAATGAATCTTTGAACGAAAAGTACCTAGGGATGCCTTCAGATATAGGTACATCAAAGAATGGGGCTTTTAAGTACCTGAAAGATAGACTTTGGAGTAAGGTGAAAGGTTGGATGGAAAAGTGCTTATCATCTCAAGGAAAGGAAGTTTTGGTAAAATCAGTGGCACAAGCAGTGCCAATTTTCTCAATGACATGTTTCAAATTACCAAGGGGGCTTTGTGAGCACTTAAAAAAGTTGATAAGACAGTTTTGGTGGTGCAGCAAAGAGGGCAAAAGGAAACCAGACTGGGTTTCCTGGAAGTCTATGACACAGCCAAAATTTATGAGACGGCTAGGGTTCCGGGATTCCGAGCTTTTCAACCTAGCTCTTCTGGCAAGACAGTCCTGGAGACTTCTGCAGCAACCAGATTCATTGTGTGCGAGAATATTGAAGGCAGTATACTACCCTCAAAATACAATTCTGGAAGCTGAACTAGGCAACCGGCCATCACAGGTATGGCAGGCTATTTTGGAGGGGAGAGATGTCCTTAAGCAAGGGATCATTAGGAGAATTGGAGACGGTACAACAACAAGAATTTGGACGAATAATTGGATACCAAGGATCGCTTCTATGAGACACCTTGCTTGTCTCTCGGCCAACCCTCCTCTTTTTGTAAGTGAGTTGATTGATGCACATAATGCAGCGTGGAACAGAGAAGCCTTGGATGCAAACTTTATTGCGGCGGATACCTTGGCAATCTTGGCCATTCCGGTCTATACCAGACAAATGGGAGACCACCGAGCTTGGAACTTTGAAAGAAACGAACTATTTTCAGTAAGATCTGCATACCGAATGCTTGCTGACACAAAACGTAGAAGGGAGGACTGGTTAGAAGGAAGATCGGGTTCCTCTGATATCGAAGCAGAAGCAAAATCGTGGGAGACTTTGTGGTCGGTTCAAGTCCTAGGAAAAATTCGACATTTCATGTGGAGGTTGTCCAAGCTATCAATCCCAACAGAGGACGTAAGGCATGCTAGAAAAATGGCGGATGATGATAAGTGCCAGCTGTGCGGGATGAGAGATTCATGGCGACATTCTCTGTTTGAATGTCCAGTGGCCAGGTGTGTTTGGGCTCTGGTAGATGAGAACATACTTGACTTCTTACAGTCATCGGCGAAGCCAAATGCCAAGGTGTGGTTATTCTCGGCTTTCGATCATCTACCTCGAGATAGTATGGTGACGATGGTGGTGACCATGTGGGCAATATGGTGGGCACGGCGAAGGGCTATCCATGAGGGAGACTTGCAAAGCCCACACGCGACTCATTCTTTTGTCAGAAGCTTTATCGCGGAACTGGCAACTCTCCAGGCTGGGGCGGCAACATCAAATGATGAAACACAAACAACCGCGAGACCTGCAGCCAGGCAAGGATGGAGGGCGCCTGAAGTTGGAACTGTTAAAATTCAAGTCGATGTGGGAGTTTCAAGAAATGGGAGAAGAGTGGCAGCTGCTACTATCGGCAGGAACCATGATGGTCTCTACCTCGGATCTTCAGCAATGGTTTTTGATAAAATACATGATCCACCAATGTTGGAAGCATTGGCTTGCCGCGAGGCTCTTGCCCTAACTCAGGACCTATATGCAGACCATATTGTTGTTGCGTGTGACAACAAGACAGTTGTAGAGGAAATCAAGAAGGGATCAGAAGGAAGATACAACAATATCATCAAGGAAATCCAAGCCCAAGCTAGACTTTTTGTTCGATGTGACTTCATCTTTGAAGGTCGAAAAGGGAATATTGATGCTCATAATTTAGCAAAATTTTGTACTTCTTTAGTTCAAGGTCGCCACGTGTGGCTGGGAGAACCCCATGACACCTTTGTTATTCCTGTAAACCGAGACAATAATCAATAAAGTCAGGTTTACCACTCAAGAAAAAAGAGAGTATATCCTCTCAGTACCCCTAAAAAAGAAAGAGTATATCCTCTCAGTACATCCAAAACTACTCGTATAGCTTGCAAACATCAAGTTGAGTACAGCACTACTGATCGTAAAGCGGCGCACACCTGCGTTCAGTCACTCGTTCACTCCACCCAGCCAGGAGCCCGCCAAAACGCGATGACGACGCTAAAATTACACACGCCTTTGTCGCACCACAGGCACGCCCCTGTCGACTTGCGTAGACGAAGCCACGGATCCAGTCATCAAGATAAGTACCAGTACACGCAAACAAAAAAAAAGCCATCGAGATGACAAGCAAACCCACGCACAGGCTGTAAAGATGCAACTGAATGCCACATTATCGCGCATCCATGTGATTGCAACCGAAACAAAGCCACAGCGACGAGTCCAGAAAATGAGGTAAAGCCGGTCAGTTACAGGTGCGGCCAGTGAACCCTGAGGTGGATTTTTGTCAGCGATCGATGGAGCCAGCCGGTGAGGGCGTGTACAATCCATAGTTTTAAAGTGATGCCTAGCATGCCATGTAGGATCGGATATGACGTAAAATAGGTTCGGATAGAGAAGAGGAATCCTCTTCAAAAGGCGGGTGTTTAAAGATAAAAAGTATGGTCCGATGACAAAAGCTGAAAATGTAGGAATGAAAAGTAGAGATGCACGTGTACTAAAGTCATTATTTTCTATTTTTTAATAAGGCCCATTAGTGATAGCTTGCATTGGGAAGAAAAAATAAATATAAATGCCTCAAATTATTTTTTATTATGGGGCATATATATCCATATGCCATCATTGTACATGCCCTGAGGCGAGGCACGCTTGGTTTACGTGCTCCGTCTCCGTCCGGAACGTCCATCGCCGCCGCTTCCTCGTCGTGGCCGCCGCGTGCGGGCTGGAAAGGGACGGCCAGCTTTTCCGACGCCTCCCTGACGTGTCAGCCCAGCCCCGAACCACCACACGCGTCCATCCCCATCCGCTGCTCCCCGCAAGCCATCCGCCCGATCCACGTGAGCCCGCCGCGTCCATCCCCCCGCGCCCCACCACCCACCGGCCCATGCGCCCGTTCCACGGACCCAGCCCCCGCCCCACGACAAGGACACGCCGCGAGGCCGTGAGGCATGACTGGCAGGTGGTCCCGCCTTAATGTCACTGAGAGCATTTTTAGGGATATAATTATGTCACTGAGGGCTAGCGGGTCCTGTACGACAGCGCGCCGACCTCTTCTTTTTCTCTTCTTCCATCGGTCTCACGGCGGTGGTGCTTGGGAAGTAAGAAAAGAAAAGCCGTGAAAAAAGTCCAGATTTTCCATTTTGCGGTGGAAAAAAGTCCGGTTAAGCCCGGGGGATTAACTTAACTTAACAAACCCGGGGGTAAATGTGATTAGCGAAGGCGGCCCAATATAAACGATAGGTGTCAGAGCGGGATAGTAGCCCGATAAATAAAAAACTCCCTCCCCCCTGCCCCGCTCGCCTCGCCTCGCCTCTCCGCTCGCACTCACCGCGCGGCGCACGCCCGTGATCCGCCTCGCCGGCTTCCGCCGCTGCCCCGCCGCCGCCTCCGATCTCGGCAGGTATCCACGGCAGCAGCTCCTCCCGATCGGCGCCGAAGGCCGGCTCGATCCAGGCCTTGCTCTCGCTCGATTTTGTGTGCTGATTTGATTGGGTCTGTGTCCGTGTGCGTGCAGGAGGGCGCGCGGAGGAGGCAGAGGGAGATGGCGGCGGAGGACGGCGCGAGGTCGCCCACCAGGATGCTGGCGGAGGGGCATCTGCGGATCGCCACAGGCGAGCGGGCGCCGGCGGACGGCGGGATCGCCGTCCGCCACATCCCACACCACCACACCGCTAAGAAAGGTGACTGACTGCTAGCTCGCTGCGGCTATCTTGTGTACTCCTCTACGTTGTCTGTACTGCTGAATTATGTTATAGTAGTGCTGGATTATGCTATGCCGTAGGAGTAGGGAGTCGGTTTGGGAATTGGTAGATGGGGCTAGAATCGTAGGGAGTGTAAATGTTCACTTCTGCTTTTGCTAGGTACAGTGCTTTGCTGTCCTCTAGAGGGTGATTTGATGATGCACGTAGCAGAGGTGATGATTTTGTTCCTAGGGTTGCCTCTTGCTATGCATGCCTGATGGAGTAGCATGGCGTTTGGGACTACAATGGTTACTAAGTATGATGATGGTTTGATGTTGTGTCAAGTTTTTCAGTGCACTGTAAGCGGTAGAAGACCATCATCGAGTATACTAGTTCATGGTGGCGGGAAAAGCCGATGCTGGTTGATTTTTGTTTGGTTTGATGTCGGTGGAGTCCTGATTTTGTATGTAGGCGACGGTTTCTGGTTAGTTATAGGTGGCTGTTTCTTTTGCCGAAAGGGGTTAAAACCCAAAATGTTGTAGTGGTCGCCGACAAAGGTGACAGCAACGATACACGCTGCTTATTTCTATTGGAGTTCAGTTCTCAGTTTGGTCATGCAATTGGTAGTAGATTTGTCGATTTCGATACGGGTTCTGATTTAGTACGTAGGTGATGGTTTTTGGTAAGTTGTAGGTGTTATTTTTTTTCTCTGAAAGGGGTTGAACCCAACAAGACATATGTCGTATGGGAAAGTTGGCAGCAACGATACACACTGCTTGTTTATATAGGACTTTAGTGCCCTGTTTGGTCATGCAATTGGTAGTGGATTTGTCGGTTACGATATGTTGATCTAAGTATTGTCTTTGTGCTCCATTGTTGGTCGGTATTATGGTTATCTAAAGTTGACGGCAACGATATACGACACCGCTTGTTTTTATTGGACTTCAGTGCTTGCTGCCCAGTTCAGTCATACAATTGGTAGTGGATTTGTCGGTTTCGATATGTTGATCCGAGTATTGTCTTTGCGCTCCATGGTTGGTCGGTAACTCAGTATTATGGTTATCTAAAGTTGACAACAACGATATACGACACCGCTTGATTTTATTGGACTTCAGTGCTTGCTGTCCGGTTCAGTCATGCAATTGATAGTGGATTTGTTGGTTTCGGTATGTTGTTCTGAGCTTCTGGAGGGGCTATAAGCTTGCGCTTATAAGTCCTAAAAGCCTACGTATGTGACAGTTTCTGGTAATTTTTGGTTGCTTGTTCTTGACTGGAAAGCTATAAATTATTTAGTGCGCAATTGTTATGGCGCTGCTAGAAGGAGGGCGCGAGAGGGCCGGCCGGGGGCCTTCTGCCCACGGCCGGGCAAGATGGATGGGATTTCCCTCTTAATTCTTGCTTGATTAGATTGATACATCTCCTCTCTTTATATAGAGAGGTTTACTTGACTCCCAAGCAAGGCTTACCTGACCCCTAAGCAAGCGACCCTTATCTCTAATTAACCCTAAGACTAATGGGTCCATTACGTACTCTAACACTACACCCCACCTGGACATGCAGCTTGTCCTCGAGCTGCAGCCTAACCAACTTATAACCATGACTTGACGCAACAAAAACCTAACACCTAAAAACAAGCCTTTTACATCTCGGCTTGTTTTATTATTCTCAACCTGAAATGGACTGGGACGCTTTATTTTGGACCCCTTAACAAAAAGTGGACACCATCCGCACGTCGGACGTGCACGTGTATAACCACCTGGATCCCATGGACACCACCTGGACAAAAGGAGTGCATGTGTATGACCACCTGGAAGTGGTCGCAAGAGTGACCAGCAGAGGCGCCCTCGCGGCGGCCGGTGGCGGAATGCAGTGGTGCTACGCGGTGCGCTGCTGTCAGTGACACCATGCCTTCTCCCTGCCGGACGGCTGTTGGTTTGCACTGCACAGGGAAGAGTGAAGGGCTTGCGATGGAGAATGACGAGGAGGGGTGCGCCCCCTCAACCGCTGACGTCGCAGACTTTGAGGTCGTTGCCCGCGGGGAAAACAGCATGCCCGCCGCCCGTGGGGGAAACCGCATGCCCAAGATCCCCGACGCAGCGGACGAGATCGAGGTCCTTTGCGCAGCGAAGCGCAACTGGGAGGAGCGGCAGCTGCAGACCACGCAACTCCCGCACACGCCGACGTGCTAGGAGGCCGCGTGCAGCAGCCTGCAGCCTCACCGTCGCCGACACGTGGCGGGTAGTGATCCAAGCTGGAAGCGGTGACGGCGACGGCGGAAGCTTGATCTGCTGGATGGGGACGCCCTGGGGAAGCGGTGATGGCGACGGCGGGAACTTGATCTGGTGGATCGGGACTCCCGTCGGCGCGGTCGATGCGGGGCCAGACCTGACCGGTGATGGCTGCTGCAGTTGCAGCGGCTGCTGCGGCGGAGCGCCGGGCGCAGCGGAGGTCGCCAGGAGCGGTGGCTGCCACTGCAGCCAGGGCGGGGCGGTGGATGGCAGCTGCTGCAGCGGCCTGATGAGCGCGGCGGAGGCCACCTGGTGCGGCGGCTGCCACGGCAGCCAGGATGGGGCGGTGGTGGCGGTGGATGGCAGTTGCAGCGGCTGCTGCAGCAGCCCGACGAGCGCGGCGGAGGCCACGGCAGCCAGGACGGGGCGATGGATGGCAGCTGCAGCGGCTGCTGCAGCAGCCCGGCGAGCGCGGCGGGGGCCACTTGGTGCGGCGGCTGCCACGGCGGTGCGGTGGCGGTGATGGGCGGCGCAGCCGGGTGCGGCCCATAGGACCCGGCCAAGAACAGATGGATCTCCTGGACCGCCTGTGTTAGGTCCCGCAGCGCCCCGGACACCTCCGGGGTGAGGACGACGGGGGCGGGCGCGACGGAAGATCCCGGCGCGGGCAGGAGCGGGGCGACGGTCGTGACCGGCAGCGGAAGAGACAGGTTGGGCGGTGGTGAAGACATGATCGAACCGAAGCTAGCTGATACCAAATTGTTATGATACCAAATTGTTATGGCGCTGCTAGAAGGAGGGCGCGAGAGGGCCGGCCGGGGGCCTTTTGCCCACGGCCGGGCAAGATGGAAGGGATTTCCTTCTTAATTCTTGCTTGATTAGATTGATACATCTCCTCTCTTTATATAGAGAGGTTTACTTGACTCCCAAGCAAGGCTTACTTGACCACTAAGCAAGCGACCCTTATCTCTAATTAACCCTAAGACTAATGGGCCCATTACGTACTCTAACAGCAATATCCTCATGGATTCAGCGGAATATGCATTTGTCGGTTACGATAGTCTGGTGTGGTTACTGCCCTTTGTTTCTATTACTGGTTTCTATTTCCCTATATGTTTAAGCATGTGGTCAAAGCTTAAAGCTGCTCAAAGTGCAATCTCCAATTGTGGGATCTGATTATTATTTTCCATAAATGTCAACTGCCAAATGCTGAGCAGCTCACGCTATATATCCATACTTCATAAGTAAAATGCTATGAGTATGTTTAGCTTGTTTCTCAAGTCATCGGTTTTTTACTTGATGATGTTGTTTAGGCAATTATTGTTGTGTATAATAAATTCATTTTTGGACTTCTATTCCATTCTTTTCTTTAGCGTATCTGATTTGGTACTGTGATAATTTCCCATTTCCATACGTCATGTGTCTGCTTTTGTGATATTAACTGCAGACATCTAACTATGTACTCCCTCCATTCCATATTACTCGTCGCTGATTTAGTACAACTTGGTACTAAATCAGCGACAAGTAATATGGAACAGAGGGAGTAGAAGTTTGCTTGCTTCCACAGTTCAATGAGAGGACAATATTTAGTTCTTTTCTACTGTTACTTCTGCGTAGATTTAGCATTGGGTTATTTTTTTTTGGAAATACTATCTTATTCTTCATAGTTCCTACGGATATTGTTGTAACTCTGTCAATGCTGCTTTCAGAAGATGGTGGGAAAATTGAACAAGACAACCTTGGAGATGCAAATCCGTTACCATCCCAAGAGTTGGGCAAATTAGTTAATGGAACTAAAAAGGTTTGAACTATCTATACTCAATGGTATTCACCAACATTTCGTTCTCTGTTGATGTGACTTTATAATCTAACAATGCCTCTCTGCAAATGCAGGTTCCTGCTACATTAGATGACTACAGGAAGCTTGTAGTTCCAGTAATTGAGGAGTATTTTAGTACAGGAGATGTGGAACTGTCAGTTTCCGAGCTAAGGAGTCTTGGATCCGATCAGTTTCACAATTACTTTGTGAAGAAGCTCATATCCATGGCAATGGACCACCATGATAAAGAAAAAGAAATGGCGTCAATTCTGCTGTCTGCCTTGTATGCTGATCTATTGGACTCCTCCAGGATGAGTGAAGGTTTTATGATGCTTCTAGAGTCAACAGAAGATCTATCTGTGGATATACCAGACGCTATTGATGTCTTGGCTGTTTTTGTGGCACGTGCCATTGTTGATGAAATACTGCCTCCTGTTTTTCTCACTCGAGCTAGAGCATTGCTTCCAGAATCTTCAAAAGGTATTGAAGTTCTGCAGGTTGCTGAGAAGAGTTACTTGTCAGCTCCTCACCATGCGGAGTTAGTTGAACGCAAGTGGGGCGGGAGCACACACTTTACTGTAGAAGAGGCGAAAAAGAGGATCCAGGATATTCTGAGGGAGTACATTGAGAGTGGAGATACAGATGAAGCCTTTAGGTGCATAAGGGAGCTGGGCCTCCCATTCTTCCATCATGAGGTTGTGAAACGTGCTCTCATCCTTGGTATGGAGAATCTGTCGTCACAGCCATTAATCCTGAAGTTGTTGAAGGAATCAACAACTGGCTGTTTGATCAGTTCTAATCAAGTGTCGAAGGGTTTTTCTCGGGTTGCTGACAGTGTTGATGACCTGAGCCTTGATGTTCCTTCAGCCAAAACACTTTTTGACAAGCTGCTTTCCACAGCCATATCTGAAGGGTGGCTTGATGCTTCGTTCTGTAAATCTGCTGCCCCTGGTGAAGATATGTGGAATGCAAGCAATGAAAAGGTGAAGCATTTTAAAGAAGAGTCTGGTCACATAATTCAGGAGTATTTCCTCTCAGATGACGTCCCGGAACTCATTAGAAGCCTTCAAGAGCTTTCTGCCCCTGAATACAACGCCATTTTCCTAAAGAAGCTCATCACGCTTGCTATGGACAGGAAGAACAGGGAGAAGGAGATGGCTTCTGTACTTCTTTCTTCACTCAGCTTGGAACTATTTTCCACAGGTGATATCATGAAGGGATTCATAATGCTCCTGCAGTCAGCAGAAGACACTGCCCTCGACATTGTGGATGCTCCTAGTGAACTCGCCCTCTTCCTGGCCAGGGCAGTGATCGATGAAGTCTTGCTTCCACTGAATTTGGATGACATCAGTAGCAAGCTGCGCCCGAACAGCAGTGGTAGTCAAACTGTCCAGATGGCCAGCTCTCTGCTTGCGGCCCGCCATTCTGGTGAGAGGATACTGCGCTGCTGGGGTGGGGGCACTGGCTGGGCTGTGGAAGATGCAAAGGACAAGATCTCCAAGCTTCTTGAGGAGTACAACACAGGCGGCGACCTGAAGGAAGCCTGCCAGTGCATCCGCGACCTCGGGATGCCCTTCTTCAACCATGAAGTGGTGAAGAAAGCGCTGGTGATGGCGATGGAGAAGCAGAATGAAGCTAGCATCTTGGCTCTGCTGCAGGAGTGCGCCGCTGAGGGGCTGATAACCATCAACCAGATGACCAACGGCTTCGCTCGCGTCAAGGAAGGCCTGGACGATCTGACCCTCGACATCCCCAACGCGCAGGAGAAGTTCAGAGGCTATGTGGAGCTCGCGACAGAGCGCGGCTGGCTGCTATCTTCCTTCGCCTCCCTGCCCTGAGCTCTTCTTCCCCAGATGGCTAAACTTGGAAGAAATACCTCTGTATATCTTACACCCATGCTGTCTTTACCACCATACCGAACTTCTTCTTCTGTTCCTAGTCTTTTCTGAGCCGGAATGGTATGGTATACCGGAGTGTGATAGGGTTGTTGGTGTATTGGTCTGTGACTTGGAGAGTTTAAGGAATAACGCCATTTGGCTTCAGGACTAGTGGAGTTGTTTTTAAATTGCTGTCCATGGTTTTCTGCTTTTGAAGTTACTTGTTGTGGACGTGTAGTAATATGTTTTCGTGGCCTTGGGATAGGGCTGTCCAAGGTGAGATGGCAGAACACAAATAGTAGGAGTAGCTCACAATACGGAAGTTACCGCGGAAGGCTCGCAACTCATCTGTTTTCCTTTTCTGTTCTTATAAAAGAAAAATCCCAAAGAGCGCCATCATCTCTCAATTTCAGCCCATTAATCTTTGGCGGCACCGTGCGGGTATAATCTACTCCCTTTGTCCCATAATATAAGAGTGTTTGTTACTACTCAGGTGGAGGGGTAGTTAATTAGAACTTTCATCTCAAAACAATTAATTACAACTTTGATTGGATGCATCCCGTCTGGCCATGCGTGGTATTAGGGCAGACCTGCTCATCCTATCTCTCTCTCCAGCGGAATACTCGTTCACGGCCAGGCACTTGAGAGGGAGACATATATTTGGTATATACCAGATCGATAGATAGTTATTGCCCATCATTTTTGGCAATACACGTGATGCGCTGTTATCTTGGTCAATTCTCAGTGTGATGTGTTTGTTGTTTTCTTCACTGTTCTCCTGTGATGCCAAATTCTGTGACAACGTGATCCATCAGGCAACCATAGATTTCTGACCAAGTGAGGCGAATAGTCATCCAAGGGAGCGTGACGGGGGCTACTACCCATACTCATCCTGGGCGGCGGCTAAGGCCGGCGGCTTCCGCTCATGTTCTTCTACCCCGGCTGGCTATATATCCGTGTGTATGCTTGTCAAATTTTGCATCACGCACTCGGCCTGCCATGGAGGGTTGGTTAACCTTATGTTTCATAGCCCTATCCACGTTGCTGGCCCTTTGGTTCTCCGGCGGCAAGAGCAAGCCCAGGAAGCACCTGCACCTGCCTCCCGGGCCATGGACTCTCCCGATCATCGGCAGCCTCCACCACGTCGTCCTCGGCACGCTCCCTCACCGCACCATCACCGATCTGTGTCGCCGGCACGGGCCACTGATGCTCCTCAAGCTAGGCGAGGTCCCCACGGTGGTGGTCTCCAGCGCCGAGGCGGCGGCGGAGGTGATGAAGACCAACGACGTCGCCTTCTCCAACCGGCAGACCACCGAGCTGCAGGAGATCATGGGCTTCGGCGGCAAGGGCATCATCTTCGCCCCCTACGGCGACCACTGGCGCCAGATGCGCAAGGTCTGCATCGTGGAGCTCCTCAGCTCCAAGCAGGTGAAGCGCATGGAGCGCGTCAGGGCCGAGGAGGTGGGCGGCCTCCTCCGCTCCGTCATCGCGGCCACGGCCGCCGGCGCCGCCGCCAACCTCAGCGAGATGTTCGCGGCGCTTGGCAACAATGTGGTGGCGCGGGCGGCGTTCGGCGGCAAGTTCGCGCGGCAGGAGGAGTTCCTCCGCGCCATGGACCAGATCATGGACCTGCTGGGGGGCTTCTGCCTGGTCGACCTCTTCCCGTCGTCCCGGCTGGCGCGGGGGCTCAGCAATGGCGAGTGCCGCGTAAAGAGGATCCGGGACCTCATTGAGAACATCATCACCGAGATCATTGACGAGCGCAAGGCGCCGCGAGCAGCCGGTCAAGGCGCATGCAGCACCGACGATGAGGACCTGCTGGACGTGCTGCTCAGGCTGCAGGAGGAGGCTTCGGCGTACCCTCTAACCACAGAGATTATAGTCACTGTCTTGTTGGTGAGTATTTTCCTTCTGGTCATTTTCTAATCGTTTGGATCTACTATGTGACCTCTACGTCATGTAGAGGCAAGTTAACATCATAGCTAGGTTTCTCACAAAAAAGGTACTGGAGTATATATAGTTTTCGCTGTAACTTTGGGCTTTGACTCGCTGACAGTTAATCTTTTATTAACACCATATGAAATACTTGCATACTACATACTGTTTAAAAAATACTTCATGCCAAGTTTGTTTTGAAAATTTATATAGTATTTAATTATAATTATATGTTACAACATTATTATTTTCAGGACATGTTTGCAGCTGCTTCAGAGACTACAGGAACCGCTTTGGAGTGGGCCATGTCAGAACTCACAAGTCATCCTGAAGTTATGGCTAAGGCACAATTAGAGGTTCGAGAGGTACTAGGTCAAGGCCGAGCTATCATTAGCAATAGCGATCTTGCAGAACTCCACTACATGCAGATGATCATCAAGGAGGTTCTTAGATTACATCCACCCGCCGCTTTACTCCCTCGCAAGACCAGAGAAGACTGCAAAATTATGGGTTATGACATCCTTAAAGATACCAATATATTCATCAATGTCTTTGCAATTTCCCGGGACCCTCGGTATTGGAGCAATCCAGAAGAATTTAATCCAGAGAGATTTGAGAACAACAATGTGGATTATAATGGGACAAGTTTTGAATTCACTCCTTTCGGAGGTGGGCGACGACAATGCCCTGGAATAGCATTCGCATCATCAGTTTTGGAGATTACCTTGGTAAACTTTCTCTATCACTTTGATTGGATGCTTCCTGACGATGCCAACTCAGTGTCACTCGATTTGTCTGAGAAATTCGGGTTCACTGTCCGTAGAAGGACTGACCTACTGCTCAAGGCTATTCCACATGTATGCTCCTAGGCTACACATATATAGATCCAAGAAGTAGATGTTCATATGTGTTGCATTGTACCTTTATACATACATTAGAATAAGAGCTCATGGAATAACTTGTTGTGCCAGATTACATGCCAAAAAAGTGGAAGCAACTATTGGCAGAAATTAAATTTCAACTTTCAAACTGGGAAAGCATGCCAACATCTCGCTCTGTGGCCAATTTTGAAGATGTTATCATCAGTGCGATTCTAAGTAAATATTATTGGCTTGTATTTGTTAAGTTTTTTTTGAAAGATCCAACACAGCTGGCTTTTCATGTTGATCATAGCAGAGTGTTGGGGATATTACTACTGGGCGTAAACCGGCCTATCTGGGCCGGGTTAACTTCATCAGTAGTTAAGTATGTTAAAGTCCTAGATGAGGGCTCAAGACCCATAATCGGTTGAGAGCCTGTAGCCGTAAACCGGCGTCAATATGTAACTTGTATTGTAAGTTAGGAATAAGTAGAGACCAAACCGGACACATCTATGAGCCGGTGTTGGGACTCTGTAAACCGACGGGCGTCACCCATGTATATAAGGGGACGACCCAGCGGCGGTTCAAGGACAACAGACAACAACTCGAGACATAGGTGAAGCTTGTTTGCTCCCTAGTCATCGAAACACCCATCAATTCCATCACAACTAGATGTAGGCTTTTACCTTCATCGAAGGGGCCGAACTAGTATAAACTCTCTTGCGTCCTTGTGTCCGCTTTAACCCCTTCAAGCTAACCCGTCGTGATGGCTCCACGACTAAGTCCTTTCTTTAGGACATCTACCGTGACAAAACCACGACAGTTGGCGCCCACCGTGGGGCTATCGCACGATGGTTTCCGGTTCTTGGAGGGCCGCTTTGAAGGACTCGAGGGCTACGCTGTAGGCCGGATGACTAAGAGTCGTCGCGGCAAGCTCTACATTGACGACGCAGGCTGGGGCCCCGAGGCCGGCTCAATTGAGTACGGGTACCGGGTCCCCTTTGGTAGCATTCACGTGTTTTCATTGGCAAGATCGGTGAACCGGGCCCTGAGCCGGACATCTGCACCGACCTCGTCGAGACGGCTCAGCGTGCGCAATCTGCCCGGGTTAAACCGGCCATGAAGCGTGCCTTCGTGGGAGTGATCCATGGAGGAAATTATGAGGACGGATCGGAGTTTCGCGGGGCGACTGTCGTTTGTTACGGTGAAGAATCTTCGACCGGAGAAACCGAATCTCTTTATCAGCTATAAGATGGCCAGATTGAGAGCTGTTCCGATGGCGACAGTATTCCGGACCCCTCTGATCTGCCTAACCGGGTTGGAATATTCATGACCGGAACACAAGCAGCGCTTCATTCTTCGATAGCCGCGACAACGATCTCCGGTTCAGCAGCGGCGACGGCTGCCGGGGCAGGAGGCCCTGTGCGCCCGCCGGCTCAGGTTCTATCAGAACTATTTGATGCGTTGGCTGTGCTTATGGCGGAAGTTAATCCGCCAGATTAGGATGTTCACAACACGGAGATTGCAAAGGTAAAGGAACAAATCACCCAGGCCAAGACGGATCTGGCGGCTGAGGACACCAGGATGGCCGCAGAGCGGGCCGCTTTAGACGCACAGACCTACAGGCTTATGTTGGACCAGAGCGCGTCGCATGAAGTCATGAGGAGGAAGCACCGATCCCGCTTACCTCCGGTTTTCGAGGCCAGAGACCTTTTCAACACTCCAGGACCAAGAGCCAGCAATCCGCTGGAGGGGAACCGGGCAGAAGCCCCTGGGACCGGTGCACCGGTTCAGCCTCGTCAGATGGACCCGCCTCGTCAAAACACCGTTATACCTCAAGATGTTTTAACACCTCTGGGTCACTACTCCAACCCAATGGACAATCTTGTTGCCGCTGCTGCACGGTTGGAGGCCATTCCAATTGAAGGTGACTCGCCGCAGGCAGTAGAGACGTGACGGGTCAAGGAACTTCTGAGGACATCTTTGGCCCAACAGGAAGCGTACTCGTACAGCCGCGACCGGATCCACTCGACCCCCCGTCCAAGCCGGAGCTATAGCAGACATATGGATGAACCAGCAGTGTCAAGTAATGAACGAGTGGAGCACCCCGTGGCAACAACCCGACAGGTGGTGCTGATGATGCTCAGGAAGTGGTGAACCGGGCCC